CAATCAATCAATCAATCAACCAGTCAATCAATCAATCAATCAAAAAAAAAAAAAAAAATGATCAATAAAAAACTGAGCAATCGTCTAATTAAAAGGAAAAAAGAAAAGTAAAAAAAAAAAAAAGGGGTCGATTATTTTCCCCCCCTTCCCCTAAAATGGACCCCCCCATTTTTTAAATTTTTGCTTTTTTTTCAATGGGCGGGGGGGGGGGTCCTGGTCGCGCCGTCGGAATCCCGACCCCGATCAGCAGGACCCCCCTCCCCTTGGCCGCAGCGTGCCGATTTCGACCGCTCCCGCAGCGGTCATGACCGCGGCCCCGCGGCCCCGACCGTGGGCCGCGGTCATGCACGCGGTGACCGCGGCAGCTGGGGATACAGAGCCCAGGACTCACAAGGGTCCCTTGCCGACCACTCACCTTGAAGGTCCGTTAAGCCTTCAGACACGTCCAACGTATAGAGTATAGTTGGGTCCGGACGAAGTTACAGAAACAAACTTTCCAGCTGATCCGTGAAAAACGTGGCCGCTATGTGGCCGACCCTAGCCGCGGATGCGGGCATGAACATAACCGCCCTCCGGGCCTGACCCCGCAGCCACGGCGGCGAGGGATACATAAATCTTAACGAATAATGGTGCAGAATTCTGGGGGAAAGTTAATAGGAGCCTAGTCCCACATGTTGTCTCCATTCGGAATACCACACCTCATATGTCTCAATTGAACAACCTTGTAGAAAATGTGAACCGAGTAATAAAGAATGCTCTACGACGGAATATCGCGGCTAGGGACACGAGGCCCTGGCCCGAGATTGTAGAACACATCCTAGCCATCCATCGGGGGACACCCCATGAGTCCACAGGTCTGTCCCTGTTCCATCTACGGACATATAGCCTGGCCTGCGTCTCTCTACCAAGCCTAAAAGAAGAAACGAATTAGGGTCGACGGTCTACAAGGACGGCGACTAAGGGAAAAGCGAAAGGACACACGGACTGTCCAAAGGCTGACTGTGTTTTTTCTTTTGAGGGAAAGTACGATAATGTTGCCTTTGAGTATGGAATGTGCCTAAGAAACACGCTTCGGCTAAAGAAACCCTGCCGAGTTCGAAAAGGCGATGGAAGTACCGACGGCTGTGGCGTCAGACTGGGTGTCATATTTACAAGGGTCAGCCATGGTGTCAGAGGGGAAAACAAAGAAAAATACAGAAAATGCCCAACGGATACTTTTCGACTGAAATGGCTCATTTCGATTTTGAGTTGGCGCGTGGTTGCTTTGCTTTGCCGGCGCAAGTTTTTTCTGCCTTTAGGGTTTCAAAACATGCTGCGTCCACTGTTTAATATTTTCTTTTTTTTTAATCTGAACTCACACAGCCACATCTATTCTGGGGTGGCAGCAGTCAGGTTGCTTACTACTGGCAAGCATAGCGAGCAAATTCACATGGTTTTCGGTTCTTGCCGCACGAAAACCAGGGCCAGTACCGTGCGCTCAGGGAAAGCGATAGGGCGGCATTTTCATCCCACATCAGGCTGGTAGCCAAGTAGGGCCCAGGGAAAACTGCCCAGGGTTGGGTTGGACATGGGATTAAGATACCCCGCTTTCGTTTTCCCTGGGCGCACAGCACTGGCCTGGGTTTTTAAGGGCACCCAAAAGCGAAAAGGTTTCCATGTGGGCGCTTTTCACCAATTATCCCAATTTACATATATCCAATATATCTGAATTTAATGAGGGCGTTGGCCCTGCATACCCCCTCCACTTCCTCTCTTCGGACCACCATGCTGTCAGGTGTATTGTATTCAATTGTGGTCAGGAGGCTGTTTATTGCACCCTGTCACTATACAAATCCACCCCGGTCCAAATCTATTACAGCTTTTTTTCTTAGTTTCTTTTCTTTTGGGGGCTTAAAAGAACTAGCCTTCGAAAAAAGAAAAAAAACTGAGAGCGCTCGCCACCGTAAGGTTGTGGACTGAAAGGAAAGCAGGGTAGTTGGGAACTAGCCTAAAGTCCACCAGAATGGCAAGGGTAGCAACCCTCTTTTTTTTTTTTTTGATCCCTTTGATGAAGTTTCAGGCAAGGCTACTGTTGGAGATGATGAAAAGGAGCCGTACAACTCAGAGATTTACTATTGCAGGGCCGAGGTCTCACTAGCAAAAAGGAAAGGATCGAGCTCGTGAATCTGGATGTGGTTTAAGCAGAGATGCGGAAAAGCAGTTTAATCTCTACTTCCTGCACATCTCCATCAACTCGTCCAGATTCAGGCATTCGATCCGATCCTCGGATCCTCTTTGCTACCGGGAGCACGCCCCAGGGCTAGCAACCGTAAACCGCTAGTACGCGGCACCAGCCTTGCAGAAAGTTTTTGTCGCCCCACATGCAAAACTCGGAGACCCCSCCCACAACCAGGGGACCGGTGCTTTCGGGRAAAAAAGTAGGTGACCTCCGAAGTGGTGCGGGTTTCATGCTGACACCCGCGGGCCTATGTATGGTGTACTGCTTATGTATTAAATGAAAAGGAGAAAAGAAAGAAAGAAAGAAAGMAAGAAAGCAAGAAAGAAAGAAAGGAAGAAAGCAAGAAMGAAAGAWAAAGCTGCAAGCAAATGGTTCCAGTAAACTAATATGTTCTTACTTCTACATCCAACAGAATGCCAGCAGCGAAAGGTTTGGGCGCGCAAAAACCGAAAAGGTTTTGSMATGGACGCTTTCCGCCAATCATCCCATTATTCGGAATAACTGGTGGCAAGCRCGTAGCCCAAAGCTTTTCTGGCTTGGCAAAAAGTGTCCACCGACAGGCCGTCAGATCTCAAATGCCCAAATCTGGTGGCCGAGATTGGGGTATTCGACTGCTGGGCCCCTTCTTCTAACTTTCTCGGTCTTCAAAGGGGAAAGGTTTGGGCGCCCAAAACCAGAAAGGTTTTGGCATGGGCGCTTTCCACCAATTATTATTATTATTATTATCCCGTAATTACAGAACCAGGTTCACAATCCGGTAGGAAGAGGCCAGCAGTCGTAGACCCCAATCTCGGCCACCAGATTTCTGCATCCAACGCCTGTGCTGCCCTTGGGCACTTTTTGCCAAGCGGTAAAAGTTTGCTTGGGTGCCCAAAACCAAAAAGGTTTTGGCCTGGGCGGTTTCCACCAATTATCCCCTGAATAATGCTGCTGTCGGATGAGCATAGAATCTCCCCACGCCGAAACCTTTCTGGTTTTCGGCGCCCAACTTTCCCGGGGTCTTTCCACCAATTACCCCATAATTCCAGCCATGTGTGTGTGTGTTGTTGTTTTTTCCTGTGTGTTTGTTTCATTTTTTATTTTTTTTTTTTAACTACGCTATATTCTACTCTCAATTTCATCTTTCACTAGGAAAATAAAAAAAAAGTATGCTGCCCACCACGACTCCTAAGCCTATTCAGGGAACCCCTCCAAGCCCTGATCAAAGGTGGTCAGGGAGTAGGGTGGGGCCTCAGGTGGGCCGGTTTTGGGGGGGATGGGCAAGTCGGATTCCAAAACAAAAAAATGTAGGGGTGTAGGGTTTTCGAAGCCCTACACCCCCATATATATATATATATTTTTTTTACGTATTGTTAGGGGAAAAATAAAATATTTAAAAAAGCAGGCCGCGGATTGGGCCTCGTAGGCCGCGGCCGCGACCGAAAATCTCGGCTGCAGCGGCTGAAATGCCCGCAGCCTAGGCTGCGGGTGTCACATAGCCTACAGAGCAAGCCACTCCAAGCACCTACCCACCGCTTCACACCAAAAACCTACCGACCGAGCCACTCCAAGCATCTACCGATCGAACCAGTCCAAGCACCTACCGACCGAGCCTCTCTAAGCACCTAACGACCGAGTGACTCAGAGCACCTACCGACCGAGCCTCTCCAAGCATATTCTGACCGAGCTGCTCCAACCACCTACCGACCGAGCCGCTCCAACCTCCTTCCCACCGAGCCACTCCAAGAACCTACCCACTAAGGTGACTGAGNCTACGCTATATTCTACTCTCAATTTCACCTTTCACTAGGAAAAAGAAAAAAAAAGTATGCTGCCCACCACGACTCCTGAGCCTATACAGGGAACCCCTCCAAGCCCTGATCAAACGTGGTCAGGGAGTAGGGTGGGGCCTCAGGTAGGCCGGTTTGGGGGGGGATGGGCAAACACAAAGACCGGACATTTTGCCAGTACCTTCGCCTCCCATCTACTGAGAGTAGAGCTAAGAATTCTTAATTCTTTTTATTTTTTATTTTTATTCACATGGCTGCTGGGCAAGGATGACAAACATACATATGTGCCTAGCTGAGTTGGTACACCAGGTCCTATGAACTGTTTATGTCCAGAGCCTAAGTTCGAATCCTTGCCTGTGGCTCCGTCCCAGCCGTCCGCTCATGCAGAAGATGGACCAGGTGCGCCTCTATCCACCACCCAACATTCTACAAGGCACATGCAATTGGACACATGGTCGACCAGGTGCATTCGAATGAGTCCAACAGTTTGAACGTGCATGTTGAGAGTATGAGGAGCTCTAGTTCTATATGCACACAGCTGGATGCTTTCTGGACCGCGTGCATCTGGACTGTTTGCGTCCTGGTGCGAGTGTCTATCTACAACGACTACGTATATATAGAGGGCTTCATCGAGTGATCCTATGCCCTGTGCAAGAGATTTTCCCCTCACTGGCACTTCCTCTTTCTCGCTCTCGGTCCTTCTGCCGCCCTCCGTGCTTTCGTTCTCCTTACGATTGATTACGATTGCCTGCCAGAGTTCTGTGTCCTCCCAGCGGTGGGCTTGCATCTGCGGTGTGCACGTGTGTACAACGCTGCGACGTTACGGTAGTGTAGCACTCATGGCCGCCTTCATGGGCAAGCCCGGCGCAAGCTCCGTGATGGCTGCTGCCTTGCTGCTGACAGTCTTGATATCTCTGTCATCAAAGCTTGTTATGGGTGAATGCAACTTCAGGGGCAGCAGAGGCCCAGCGACGATATCGGACGGTGATATTTGCTGTGATGGACCTATCTTCCACAACGTGGATGGGTGAGTACTCAGTCTGATCAGTCGATTTATTATTATTATTATTATTTTTTCCACTGTGTTTCCTCTCCGTACATCGTAGTAAGGCATTCCGCCTCCCTCTCACACGCATCCCTTCCTCTCTTGCTTACAAAGAGTGTGCTTGACTGACACGGGTTTCCATCCCCAAGGGAGACTGAGGAGCAACCTAGCTTTGCCGATTGCCCAGTATACTACGGTGTAAATTGTCTCACAGGCGTCGGTGCTTCGTGTGTGTTGCCTGAGACGTGGTCAGTTGCTCTTCATCATTTTCCCGATTTTTTTTCTTTTTTCTTTTGTAATTGGAAAATCGTCCAGGCTGTCCAGCATGTCAACCCTCAAATTAAAAAAAAAAAAAAAAAAAAAAAAAAAGGCCCAGCCGACGTAGGGATAGGGGAGGTGAGTGGCCGTCCTGTCTTCCCCGCTCTGCCCCATCTCCTCCGCCTCTGACCACCCCAACCCAAAGTAACAGTCCCCTCCCACGTGAAGTCAAAGGACATGTGTTAAAATTGAAAGGCTACAGAGAAGATTAGAATGGCCCCTGCGCAAGGACGACGCAAATTAAAAGAGTAATAATAATAATAATAATAAAGTTATTGTCATCTGTCCGTCTCGGGTCTCAGAGATTGCTAAAGTCAGACTTGTGTCGTTGGTTGCTTCCTTGATGGAATCGTTCGATTGGACTGTCGATTGGACTGTTGACTGGATCTTTGATGATTAAACATTAAGAGAAAAAACAAAAAAAAAGCGAAATGCTACATCCAGCACGGAC